GCGCTGGCCTCTCATAGTTTTTAGAACTAGACTAGGACATAAAAAATGCATATGGGGAAAAAACAATCTTACCTAGATACAAAAGGAAGAATTAAGCCACACAGGCATTATCATCTGAAATTCTTAAAGAAAGTGTGAAAGTGTTAATGGCTGTGAGAGAGTGTTGGCATCTTTGTGCCTAACTCAGGAGATGGGGAGGAAGTGCCCCATGGGAAGCAGTTAGACCAGGGGTACTACGCTAAGTATTGTGGGACCCTTAGCCTTGAGGTACACAAATACTTATCCTTTTTTCTTGGGCTATTTTGCAGAGGGGATTTGGAATAAATGGTTCTGAAGCCCTCATTTTGTCACCCTCAGATTAAGATGTGTCCTTCACAGGCCAGACCTGAAAGTCTGAAGACTGTGAAGTCAACTACGGGCATCCAAGTCTAAATCTTTGGCTTAATCCTTAGCAACAGGTGCTCCGTGATGGGAGTGCTGAGGCGGGAGGAAGGGTGCCTCTCCAGAGCTGCTGCTGTGAAGTTATTCAGCCTCAGACTAGGTTGGGAAACACTGTAATAGAAAAGATTCTAGCATTGATTTTTCTGAAGAGAAATAAACCTGTTTTCTTCGTTAAAGTAAGAAATAGAAAACCTATAGGAATTTTCCTATAACCATTAAAAGTAATTGAATCAGTGATCAGAAAGCTTCCTTATAAATATGACTTCACTAGAATGTTCTGCCCTACATTAAATGGAGGAATAATCACAATCTTATACATATTCTCATGGAGAGTACAGAATGGGCAATATCAAGTTATTTGTGAGGCTAGCAAGACCTTAATATCAATAGGACAGCATGAAAGAGTTAAAACTACAGACAGGGCTGGCACCACGGCTCACTAGACTAATCCTCCGCCTTACGGCGCCGGCACACCAGGTTCTAGTCCTGGTCAGGGCGCCGGTTTCTGTCCTGGTTGCCCCTCTTCCAGGCTAGCTCTCTGCTGTGGTCCGGGAGTGCAGTGGAGGATGGCCCAAGTGCTTGTGCCCTGCACCCGCATGGGAGACCAGGAGAAGCACCTGGCTCCTGGCTTCAGATCAGCGTGGTGCGTCGGCCGCAGTGCGCTGGCTGCGGTGGCCATTGGAGGGTGAACCAACGGTAAAAGGAAGACCTTTCTCTCTGTCTATCTCTCTCACTGTCCACTCTGCCTGTCAAACAACAACAACAACAACAACAACAAAACTGCAGGCAGAAATCCTGAGCAAAACATTTGCAATCTAAGTCTACCATATAAAAAGTAAAATAAAATATCATGACTACACTGAATGTATCCCAGAATATAAAGTTGATTAGACTATTAACCAATGTTGGGATCTTCTTAAAAAATTATAGGACAAAAATTATGTAATTATCTCAAGAAACACAGAAAAGTATGTGCTAAAGAATATCAACTCATGACTTGAAGCAATATCTTAGCAAACTAAAAATAGGAGACTAATTTACCTGATAAACATTATTTCAAAATATAAAAATCTTATATTAAACATATTTAATGGTGAGTGATTTGTAGCTTTTCATTTGAGATTAGGCATGAAATGATAATCTGTTATTACTAGTTCTTCTGAAGGTGCTGGTCAGGTAAGAAAAAGGTAAGGTAAGAAAAAGAAATAAAAATTATTGAAAAGTTCATCCTCAATATTCATAAACTAAATATTCACAAATGTTTGCATAGAAAATTTAAAGGATATACAGATAAGTTATTAGAGTTAGAAGTTTTTTAAGATGCAGAATTTACAAACAATATACAAACAGAAAATAACATTTTAAAAAATATCACTTACAATAATCCTCCAAAGTTATAAAGTACCTAAGAATAAATCCAACATGAATGTGTAAGTCCTGTATATGGAAGAAATTATAAAACATATTTAGAGGCCTTAAAGAGTCCCTAAATAAATGGATAGCCATTCCATTATTATGATACACAGTCAACAGTAACTAGTTATCTTAAAATTAAGAAGCCACCATTGAGAGTGAGAATATATGTTACAGAGTAAAATAAGACATTCACAAAATATGTAATCAAGCAAACGCTAATAGATATAAAAATTTCCTATAAACCAATAAAAAGAAAGTAGAAGATCCAATAGAAAATGTGCAAGAAATTTTAAAGAGACTCTTCACAGGAGTATATCCAAATAGCAAATAAACATATGAAAAAGTACTCAATCTCATTTAGTTACCAAAGTTATGCAGGTGATGACTTGATGACTCAAGCACTTGGATCCCCACTATCCATATGGGAGACCTATATTGAGTTCCTGGCTCCTGGCTTCAGCCTGGCCCAGCCCCAAATATTATAGTCATTTGGGGAGTGAACCAGCAAATAGAAGATTACTGTCTGTCTGTATCTCTATCTCTGTATTTCTCTGTGTGTGAGTGTGTGTCTGTCTGTTTTTCTCCCTGCCTCTCAAATAAATAAGTATTTTTTAAAAGAAATGAAAAATTTAAACATAATGAGCTAGCACTACATACCAGCAAAACAACTTTATAGTACATTACTGGCTGGTAAGCATGTGAGTAACCCTCCTGTACTGCTGGCGAGGATATAAGTTGCTGTAACCACTTTGGAAAACAGTTTGTATTTACTACTATAGTTGAACTTAAGCATCCTTGATAATGTAGCAGTTTGGCTCCTTGGCAAATAACCAATAAAAATCCCTGCATGTGTATACCAAAAATGCATATTAAAAAGTTTGTAGCAGAATTGTCATAACTAGTTTAGAATTAGACCTCAATGTCCATTAGTAGTAGAAAGGATATATAAAATATGTACAAATAATCAAATACCTCAGTGAAAACTAATATACCATAGCTCACATAACAAATTGAATGGGACTAACAAATATAATATTAGGTAAAAGAAGATTGACACAGATAAAAATATACTGTATGTTTCCATTTATAGTGAAGTTGAAAAACTAAACTAGATTCTAATATTAGAGGACAGAATAGTGAGTAAACCTTGGGCAAGAGGTGTAGGGCTTGAGATGTGTTAAGTGTACTTATGCTATGACTCAAAGTTCCATTTTTTGACCTACCAGTCAAAAATTGCCACAATATTTGTTGTTTAAAAAAGATTTATTATTTATTTGAAAGAGAGAGGGAAAGACAGAGAGAGAGAGAGCACGCGCACTTCTATCACTAGTTCACTCCCCAGATGACTGTAATGGCCAGGGCTGGGCTAGGACAAAGCCAGGAGCCAGGAGATTCATCTGAATCTCCCACATAGGTGGCAGGGGACCAAGTATATGGGCCATTAACCATTGCTTTCCCAGGCCATTAGCAGGAAGCTGGATGAGAAGTGGAGCAGCGAGACACAACCCAGAGCCCATATGGGATGCCAGCATTGCAAGCAGCAGCTTAACACTGTACACCACAACACTGGCCCCAAAACATTTGTTTTACTATAATCATTAAACTGTGTATGTTCTGAGTACTTTTCTATGTATGTGTACCGTTTTTCAATTTTTAAAAGATTTTTAAAATTATAAAAAAAGAAAATATCAGACAACTGAATAGAAAAGTTTTTTTAAACATGTAATCCATACTAGAGGACAACAAAGGACCAATAAACAAAATATAATGTTTGGCATGTAATCAGGGAAATACATATACAATCTACATAGATAGTCAAAATATTAGAAATTTGACTGTTTCATGTATTTTTCTTATTGAGCAGAAGAGACACTCATACACATTGATTAGATTATAAACTGGTATAACTGCTTTAGAAAATAGTTTGTTGTTTTAGTCATTTTGATAATACAAGTATACACACGCAGACACACACACACACACATCCTCACCCAGCAATTACATACCTAAGAACATACTCTGGAGAAACTTGTGTATTTGTACTACAGTGTGAATAAAAATACCCATAGTGGTGAAAACTGGAAACATGTTTGTCAACAAAAGAATGGAATGGAATGGAATTCTCATCCAACTAACTAGTATGTAGCATCAAAAATTAATAAGCCATGGCTATCTACAATAATATAATAGAATCATAAAAAGACAAAAATTCAAATACATAGAATATTCTATTATAATTTAAAAAATTTAATTAAAATTCTGTTAGAATTCAGACACAAACAATTTTTTAGGACTGCATGTTTAGGTAACCAGTTTAAGTCAGTAAATATAAAAAAAAGTTTATTATAAAAGTCAGGAAAGTGGTTTTCTCTAAGAAGGGAGATGATTTAACTGACAAGAGACGCTCAGAGCATCTCCGGACTATAAACAGATCCTTTTCTTCACCTGAGTGGTGCTTTTGCAATTATTGACTTTGTAAATATTTGTAAAAGTATGTTTTGCATCTTGTGAAAATTTTTTGTATTTAATATTTTACACTAGGGCAAATTAAATGCTCCCACTAGGTTCACTTTTCCATGTAGTAATAGCCATCTATCCTCAATGAAGAAGAGAAGGCTAGGAAAATATGGGAAGATAGAGAGCACAGGAGGATAGGCTGACCAGTGTCAGGAAGTGGGCATCTCTTTTTTTGGAGACTGAGGATGGGAGAAAGAACACAAGGGAAAAATGCATATGAATACAGACATTTAGGAGAGGAGTCAAAATAGTTAGATATATGTTCTTGTAAAATGGGAACCACAATTATTTGCTGAAAGCAAAGCTCAAGAGGAGGGTAGGAACTAGTGGGGCAAAATTATAAAATTTGTTCAGGTTTTGGCAAATATTTAAAATTTCATGTAACCAGTCAGAATCTTGAAATTGAAATTGTACTTCTGATAATTGTTCATTATGAACAGACCTTTAATTTTCCCTCAGACACTAAAATGACTCAATTACATAATTAAACATTTTCAAAAATTCTGTTACTTAAAATGTAGAGATAATAAATGTTTACATTGAATATGGAGGGCTGTTTTGGTAGGCAAAATATACTTACTTTGGCAAAGAATGATTGTGCTAACTTGTTTTTTTTTCCTATTCAGGTCATGTATGGAATGTTGGTTTTCACATTAGTCCTGCGATCAATTTATATTGTTACGTGGTAAGTAGTTTGGATCGTCAATACTATAATTAAAGCATATTCAGTCTTCTAACAGTAAACCTATACCCTAAGTTGAAGAACACACACAACTTTACTCCAGCAGAGATATTGATAGAAAACTATAATCCAACACTCATTTTGGTAAATAAGGGATCAGGCAAGTTAATATCATGTGAGAGTTCCAAAACTAAAGAAATGTGAAAAAAACTGTACACAATGGCCTCTTTTTAAATATTCATAATGTTTGTAATATAATAAAGACCTTGAAAAATGCTACAGTAAAAAAAAACTTTTTATCTTTCTCAAACCTACCTGACTAGAGAACGCCTTTTATATAAAACCTCTAAAGGAAAGCTATTAGCATCACAAAGAATTCGGATTCTAGGAAAGATTATTTGGAAAATGGGCATAATTTGTAAGAGTTAAAGAGCATTAAAAACTAATGCTTGTGAGAAGATATATCTTAAATATGACCTTGCCATACAGCAAGTGCTCAATTAATATATAGAATGATATATAGGTTTGTTTTTTAATCTTTTAATTAGGTTTCTAACTTTGTAGAAATGTATACATTTGTAAAAAATAGTAGAGGGAGATCCTCTGTACCCTTTACCAATTTTCTCCAGTGGTAACATCTTGGAAAATTATACTATATTACACAGCCAGGATTTGATAATGACACAGTGAAGATTCAAAACACTTCCATCACAAGAATCCCTGTGTTCCTTTACAGCCACACCTAATTCCATCCCACCTCTACCTCACCCCACATTCCCTGTCTTTAATCCCTGGTAGTCACTAATCCATTTCTATAGTTTTGTTGATTCAAGAATGTTGTTTAAATGGAACCATATACTACATAATCTTTGGGATTGGCTTTTTTTTTAATTCAACATAATTTGCTGGAGATTACCCAAAGTTGTCGGATGTTTCTATTGTTCATTCCTTTAAGCTGCTGAGTAATATTATCTGATATAGATTACCACGGTTTAGTCATTTGTCTGTTGAGTAATAACCTGGGTTGTTTCCAGTTTTTGCTATGTGAATAAATCCAAGAGCTGGATCTGAAGTGGAGCAGCTGGGACAGGAACTGGCACCCATATGAGATGTCAACATTCAAATTGGAGGCTTAACCCACTGCACCACAGCACCAGCCCCTAGTTTTCCACAAAAACACTAAACATTTTCCACAGTGCCTCTACCATTTTTACATTCCCACTACAAATGTGTTAGTGATCTAGTTTCTCTGCTTCCTTAACAGTATTTGATGGTATTTATTTATTTTAGCCATTCTTATAGGTATGTATTGATATATTACACTTTTAATTTGTATTTCCTTAGTGGCTGATGGTGTTGAACATACTTTCATGTGCTTTTTGTCATTTGTGTATCATCTTTGGTGAAATGTCTGTTTATGTCTTTGCCCATTTTCTCTTGTTTTAAAACAATTTTTAAAAAGAAAGAACAACAGACAGTGTATTAGACAGCTTTTCATTGCTGCAACAAAATACCTGAGGCAACCTACTTTATAAAGAAGGGGCTTTCTTTTTAGCTCATGATTCTGAAGGTTCAAAATCTGAAGAGGGTCCTACTGTTTGTGCAGTTTCTCTCCCTCTCCTTATAAACCCTCCAGGATTCAGTCATGGAGGCCCCACTGTAATGACCATTCAGTTTCCCAAAGCTCCACCTCTAAACACCATAGTCAAGTTAGCTTCACACCCTCTTAATAGCATTGACATAAGACTGGGTATTAAACTCCTGCATGAGTCTGGAAAGAAATCATATTCAAACCATAGCAGATAATAAGGAGAGTTTCTGTTGCTTCTACAGTTGAATTTTGAGACTCTGATTTGTCAGATATGTGATTTGCAAATGTTTTCTCCCAATCTGTACCTATTTTTTCATCCTCCTTTCAGGGTTGTTTAATGACCAAACACTTAAATTTCATTAGATCTAATTGATGAATTTTCCTTTTATGGATTGTACTTTTGGTGTCAAGCCTAAGAACTCTCTTCCAGCCTTCACTCCCAAAGATTTCCTCCAATTTTCCTAAAAGAGTGTGTAGTTTTACATTTTCAATTTAAGTCCACGATTTATTTTAAGTTAATTTTGTATAAGGTATGACACTTAGGGGCTGGCATTATGGTGCAGCAGGTTGAGCTGCTGCAACTTGTGATGCCAGAATCCCATGTGAGCACCAGTTTGGGTCCTGGCTGCTACACTTCTGATTCAGTTCCCTGCTTGTGTGCCTGGGAGGAGTAGCAGAGGGTGATCCAAGTACTTGGACCCTTGCCACCAACGTGGGATACCTAGGTGGAGTTCCAGTGTGTATTTTTCAACTGTTGGATGAAATATTATATAGACATCTGTTAGATCTGTTTAATTTATAATATAGATTAACTCCGGTGTTTCTTTGTTAGTTTGCTCTCTGGATGACCTGTAATCTTGTTAAAAGTAGGATCCTGAAGTCCCCAACTATTGGTGTCTATCTCCCTTTAGATCCAATAATATTTACTTTATATTATTGGATACACTGGTGGTAGGTACATATATATATATATATATATATATATATTTTAGATTTATTTATTTAGTTGAAAGAGCTACAGAAAAAGAGAGGAAGAGAGAAGAGAGAGCTTCTGTTGTTGGTTCACTCTCCAGACAGCTGCAACAGCCAGGACTGAGCTGTGCTATAGCCAGGAGCTTCATCCAGGTCTATGGATAGTAGGGCCCCAAGCACTTGGGCCATCTTTGCTGCTTTTCTCAAGCCATTAGCATGCAGCTGGATCAGAAGTAGAGCAGCTGGAACACAAACTGGTGCCTCTGTTGGAGCTGGCATCACAGGCAATGGGTTCAACCCCATATGCCGTGATGCCAGTCCCCAAAATTTGTTTTAAGTAAACACAGTGCTATATCCTCCAAGCCAGCACTCAAGCTATAATTCACAAAGAACTGCACTCTAGATAGATGAAGTATTCTCTAAGAAAAAATATCATTTTCTAGCCGGCGCCACGGCTCAATAGGCTAATCCTCCACCTTGTGGTGCCAGCACACCGGGTTCTAGTCCCATTCGGGGCACTGGATTCTGTCCCGGTTGCCCCTCTTCCAGGCCAGCTCTCTGCTGTGGCCAGGGAGTGCAGTGGAGGATGGTCCAGGTGCTTGGGCCCTGCACCCCATGGGAGACCAGGAGAAGCACCTGGCTCCTGGCTTCGGATCAGTGTGATGGCGCCGGCCAAATATCATTTTCATCCTCATTATTTTTCTTATCCCTGGACACTATTAAGAGGAAGTTGCATGCAGATCTGCATTTCTATGGCTGAGGTCATGGCTATCAGGGAGGTTGCCTTTCTAGTCAAATCATATATACCCAGTTACATTCCCAACACCACAACTATTTTTAGTGATGAAGGTATTTTTGCTTTTAAATCTGTTCTAGAGTTACAAAATTTGTGTTATGTTCTATGTATCCTCAGGCCAAGAGGTTGGGCATCCTCTTCATTCCTACCACTCCCAAACTATTTATCCTCTTTCCTTCAAAATTTGAACTTCTTATTTTTTTTTGTTTGTTTGTTTCCCCAAAAACCTTTTATTTAAGGAATATAAACTTCATACATTTCATAATTACAACTTCAGGAACATGGTGATACTTCTCATTGTACCCTCCTTCCCACCCACTCTCTCAGCCCTCTTCCTCCTCCCTTTCCTATTCCCACTTTTATTTTTTACTAAGATCTTTTATAACTTTATACACATAGTTAACTTTCTACACATAGTTTCTTCAACTTTATACACTGTTCCTCAACAGTGGAGACAAGGACTGTGCAAAGTCATTGCTTCTCAAAGCATCAATTTCACTCTAGTAGGTTGTCTTTTAGATGCTCTATTAGTTATCATAGGTCAGGGAGAACATATGGTATTTGTCCTTTTGGGACTGGCTTATTTCACTAAGAATGATGTTTTGCAGTTTCATCCATTTTGTTGCAAATGACCAGATTTCATTGTGTTTTTATTTATTTATTTATTTTTGTCTTTTACCACTGTGTAGTATTCCATAGTATACATAGCCCATAATTTCTTTATCCAGTCTTCAGGTGATGGGCATTTGGGTTGATTCCATGTCTGAGCTATTGTGAATTGAGCTGCAGTAAACATGGGGGTGCAGATAACTCTTTCATATGCTGATTTCATTTCCTTGGGTAAATTTCCAGGAGTGGGATGGCTGGGTCATATGGTAAGTCTAGATTCTGATTCCTGAGGTATCTCCGCAGCGTCAAGGAATGAACAATAGAAACATCCGACAACTTTGGGGGACAGGCAGAGTGGACAGTGAGAGAGAGAGACAGAGAGAAAGGTCTTCCTTTTGCCATTGGTTCACCCTCCAATGGCCGCCGCAACTGGCGTGTTGCGGCCAGCACATCGCCCTGATCAGGAGCCAGGTGCTTCTCCTGGTCTCCCATGGGGTGCAGGGCCCAAGCACTTGGGCCATCCTCCACTGCACTCTCGGGCCATAACAGAGAGCTGGCCTGGAAGAGGGGCAACCAGGACAGAATCTGGCACCCCGACCAGGACTAGAACCCAGGGTGCTGGTGCCACAGGCAGAGGATTAGCCTATTGAGCTGCGGTACCAGCTGGGAAAAATTTTCTTTCATGTCAGGTATGGATTTCCTTAGTTCATGGATTTGTTCCTGATTACTTCTAAGTAATCCTTTGATCAATTTTTGAATTCCATTTCTGGCATTTCTTTGATCTCTTCATCTTCACATTCTAGTATTCAAGCATTGTATTATTTTGCAGATGTCATATTGTCTTCCTTATTCTTCTTTCTTTTTTTTTTAATAGGCAGATTTAGACAGTGAGAGAGAGACAGAGAGAAAGGTCTTCTTTTCCATTGGTTCACCCCTCAAATGGCCATTACGGCTGGTGTGTTGTGGCTGGCGCGCTGTGCCGATCCAAAACCAGGAGTCAGGTGCTTCCTCCTGGTCTCCCATACGGGTGCAGGA